ATGCGGAGAGCAGTATTAATGTTTAACCATCTTGAAAAGATTGTGTATTTATGGTTGGGAGAGATCGCTAGATGTGCTCCGGCACTACCATCTATGTTTACTTCCATAAACACAGAGCACGCTGGCCTGTGATGTCATTGCAGCCTCTACTGCGCATGCGGGACTCCTGTGTTGTATGACTGCAGTTCAAACAGGAGATCACATACAAGTCGCTTATATTTGGAAATGTGAACAGCAAAGCAAAAAAATAGGATTTCACAAGAAAATCGGAATTGAGCATCAAGGCCTGCAGTGTGAACATAGGCTTAGAGACCATGAGATCCAATTTTATTCTATGAGTGGACGGGGCCTTTTATTAGCACAGCATGTTTAAAAGACAGGAGCAGAAAAGAGTCCAGATGACATCCATACCGGACCTGATCTCAAACAACTTCTATTGATACAAAGTTAAAGTGAGTCTTGTCCGAACTTCATACTCTGTGTCTAGAATTAGCCCCGTTAGTCCAAAGAGGATCCCAGCTGTTTGTATTTTAAATTTAATAAGCTTGGTCTTTACACACTACCCATGGCTCCATCACATGATTGCAACCTATGGCTGTAGCCAATGACCGTCCTATATGGTTAAAGCCCATAGTCATTACCATGGCTACAGCTAATGGACATTACTATCGCTACAGCCTGTGGTTGCTACGCATGGCTGTAGCCAATGACCGCTCTCTATGGTTAAAGCCCATTGTCATTACCATGGCTACAGCTAATGGACATTACCATCGCTACAGCCTGTGGTTGCTACGCATGGCTGTAGCCAATGACCGCTCTCTATGGTTAAAGCCCATTGTCATTACCATGGCTACAGCTAATGGACATTACCATCGCTACAGCCTGTGGTTGCTACGCATGGCTGTAGCCAGTGACCGCTCTCTATGGTTAAAGCCCATTGTCATTACCATGGCTACAGCTAATGGACATTACCATCGCTACAGCCTGTGGTTGCTACGCATGGCTGTAGCCAATGACCGCTCTCTATGGTTAAAGCCCATTGTCATTACCATGGCTACAGCTAATGGACATTACAATAGCTACACCCTATGGTTGCTACGCATGGCTGTAGCCAGTGACCGCTCTCTATGCTTAAAGCCCATGGTCGATACCATGGCTACAGCCCATGATCAATAGCCATGGCTACAGCCAATGATCACTATCTAATCTTAAAGCCCATGGTCGATACCATGGCTACAGCCCATGACCAATAGCCATGGCTACAGCCAATGATCGCTATCTATGCTTACAGCCCAAGGTCGATACCATGGCTACAGATATTCATATGTTTATAGGAACACACCGAATTAAATCTTTCCACCAGCCTGGTATAACAGCTTACAAGAGGGTCATTTGACCTTTGGACCTCCTGCGGACACTCCTTTTGTTGTGGAAATGTAGCTGTTAGCAGCTCATAGTTGTCACAGAGTCGCTTGAGCCTGTGTGGGGAAGGGAACCCTAAGGCAAGCTTTTAGGCCCCGTCCACACGAAGTCAAAACGAACACGAAACGCTGATATTTTCCCAAACGTTTGCCGTAAAGACGGAGACGTAAAATAAATGTGAGCGTCCACACGAATGCATGAAAACGCTGCAAAATGTATGCCAGGCCTGTAAGTGGCGCTGTGGTGCCAAAGCAAAAATAAGCGACGAAATGTTGGGCATGCGCACTAATATTTATACATGGTTGCCCTGCGGGTCCATTTTCGTGGTTAAGTCAAATTCAGGTGCTGAACTATGTCGTCGATATTGCTCTGTTCTTCCTGGAGATATTCCAGAAGAAGAAGATTCTGTTGTAAGCCCGGCAGCAGGGTGAGTAGCATTAGCAGCAACGGCGCCATTGTTGTTGTGATACTGTGTCGCGCATGCATGTTTAGAGGCGACGCTATGACGCATGCGTGTAAAAAAAAAAATGCGGTTAGAGCGTAAAGATGGAAACGCGAAAACGGCGTTTCGAAATCTTCCCACTCTGAAGGCTGAATAAAAAAAAGATCGTTTACAGACCCCCGAAACACCGGTTTCGTGTGGATGAGAGGCTGGTTTGGTGAAAAATTTGTGCGTTTAGGCCAGGGTCCGTCTTCGTGTGGTCGGGGCCTTAGTATAGTTTTTAGTGGATTTTTCCGGGTCAATTGACCCCTCTCTGGTACTTCAAGGTAGGCAGAAAAATCCTGGTAGTTCTAGTGTTAGGGGAGACAGAACACTTTGTAATAAGTTGTAGAGTTGCTGACACTGGTGTTATTTGTTTTTCATTTGAAAATGGATGTGTTTGTGTCTCTGATACCATAGGTCCTTGTTTTATTTGGCTTATGAACAGTCAGAAATTAGGTTGCCAAAAGCAAGATATATGTTGCCTGTTATTTGTTCTGAAAGTCAAAAGCAAACTCTAAAATGTATGCCACTTAAACCAGAGCTAGAAACTCAGGGTTTCCGGACCTTATTAGAGCAGATGTGACTGCTAATGAAACTCTGTCTGTGGTTATCATTTTAAAACATAATGTTCAGCTCAAAACCAAAGGTTTATGTAGGAAAAAAGAATTGTGTGACTTTATTTGAGTCATTATACTTTCCCTAGCTTATACAAAAAACCTCAAACTTTTTGTAGAACTACCTTGAGTTTTTTAAGCCTTTTTTTTTCTCATGCTCAAATATTGTCATGTGTTCCTTTTAACAGTCTTAGCAGTCGTTTAATGAAGCTGCTGCATTCTAAAAGAGCCACAGAAGAGTCTGTAGAGTATTTCAGATTATTCCAGTTATTTGTGCAGGTCTTTTTTTTTACCCAACCAATATACAGGTGCTGGTCATAAAATTAGAATATCATGAAAAAGTAGATTGATTTCAGTAATTCCATTTAAAAAGTGAAACTTGTATATTATATTCATACATTACATACAAACTCATATATTTCAGATGTTTATTTTGTTTAATTTTGATGATTACAAATGACAACAAATGAAAATCTCAAATTCATCATATCAGAAAATTAGAATATTGTGAAAAGGTTCAAAATTGATGGCCCCTGGTGCCACACTCTAATCAGCTAATTAACTCAAACCACCTGCAAAAGCCTTTAAATGGTCTTTCAGTCTAGTTCTATAGGCTACACAATCATGGGGAAGACTGCTGACTTGACAGTTGTCCAAAAGACGACCATCGACACCTTGCACAAGGAGGGCAAGACACAAAAGGTCATCGCTAAAGAGGCTGGCTGTTCACAGAGCTCAGTGTCCAAGCACATTAATAGAGAAGCGAAGGGAAGGAAAAGATGTGGTCGAAAAAAGTGTACAAGCAAGAGAGATAACCGCACCCTGGAGAGGATTGTGAAACAAAACCCATTCAAAAATGTGGGGGAGATTCACAAAGAGTGGACTGCAGCTGGAGTGAGTGCTTCAAGAACCACCACACACAGACGTATGAAAGACATGGGTTTCTGCTGTCGCATTCCTTGTGTCAAGCCACTCTTGAACCACAGACAGCGTCAGAAGCATCTTGCCTGGGCTAAAGAGAAACAGGACTGGACTGCTGGTGAGTGGTCCAAAGTCATGTTCTCTGATGAAAGTAAATTTTGCATTTCCTTTGGAAATCAAGGTCCCAGAGTCTGGAGGAAAAGAAGAGAGGCACTTCATCCACGTTGCTTGAAGTCCAGTGTAAAGTTTCCACAGTCAGTGATGGTTTGGGGTGCCATGTCATCTGCTGGTGTTGGTCCATTGTGTTTTCTGAGGTCCAGGGTCAACGCAGCCACATACCAGGAAGTTTTAGAGCACTTCATGCTTCCTGCAGCTGACCAACTTTTTGGAGATGCAGATTTCATTTTCCAACAGGACTTGGCACCTGCACACAGTGCCAAAGCTACCAGTACCTGGTTGAAGGACCATGGTGTCCCTGTTCTTAATTGGCCAGCAAACTCTCCTGACCTTAACCCCATAGAAAATCTATGGGGTATTGTGAAGAAGAAGATGCAATACACCAGACCCAACAATTCAGAAGAGCTAAAAGCCACTATTAGAGCAACCTGGGCTATCATAACACCTGAGCAGTGCCACAGACTGATCGACTCCATGCCACGCCGCATTGCTGCAGTAATACAGGCCAAAGGAGGCCCAACTAAATACTGAGTGCTGTACATGCTCATACTTTTCATGTTCATACTTTTCAGTTGGCCAACATTTCTATAAATCCTTTGTTTTTATTGGTCTTCAGTAATATTCTAATTTTCTGATATGATGAATTTGAGATTTTCATTTGTTGTCATTTGTAATCATCAAAATTAAACAAAATAAACATCTGAAATATATGAGTTTGTATGTAATGTATGAATATAATATACAAGTTTCACTTTTTAAATGGAATTACTGAAATCAATCTACTTTTTCATGATATTCTAATTTTATGACCAGCACCTGTAGGTTATGTGTTTGAGTAAATCAATTTTTAAAAGAAACAGTCAGCTTTGCAGAGCTATAATACCTCTACTGCCCTCTAGTAGCGTTTAATGTATTTTAACAAGTAATTAATCGAGCATCTAATTTCTCTCGAAGTTTTGAAATGATTCCCAAGTTGAATAAACTTCATATATATATAGATCCTCTCATGGTGCATCTAATCTATTCTACTTTTAATGGCTGCATAACCTCTTTAATCCAATGAGCATAAGGAGGAGGGTAGGTCTCCTTCCATTTGAACACTATTAACCTCCTTGCTAGTAAGGTAGTGTATGCCACCACATTTGTCTGAGTAGCATGTAGATATGCACTAGCTGGGGAGAAGGTTCTAGGTGGTATTGGAGGATAGTTGCTAGAGCATCAAATAGCCTTTTCCTTTTTGTCTAAATTTGTTGCTTTCTGTTGTTTGGTCTTGAAGTTTCAGATAAAGTTACAATCCTGAATGTGATAACTTATCTTCTATGTGCTGCCTGAATGTTTTTCATCAGGCCGTTTAACCTTAACATGCTTCTTTTTCTCTGAAGGTACATGAAGATCGTCCATCCTTTGGGGAACCATTTCTTCCAGAAGGCTAGAGCTGCTTACATCATCTCTATATCAACCTGGGGTTTGCTCGTGGCAATGACGAGCTCCTATGTCATCCTTTCCCTCCTCACCAAAGGGAATAAGGAAGAGCTGCCCGGTATGGTGAGCTGTGATGTCCTGCACAGTAAGCAGCTGAGTCTGCTCTACAAAATCATCCACAGCTTCTCCGCCATCCTCTTCCTCATCGTCCTCATGGCCCTCATCTTGTTCTACCACAGCACGTCACACAGGCTGTCTCTGGCTCAGAGAACTCAAACAACTTCCAGTAACTCCAAAAAGCTTATTAAATCCCGGCGAAACATGCTGGTCCTGGTCACGGTCTTCTGCGTCTGCTTCGTCCCCTACCACCTGGTTCGCCTTCCCTACGCCTTCAAGAAAAGTTTGTTTTGCTCATGGAGTTGGTTCTTCTACGTGAAGGAACTGACCGTCCTGGTGTCGGTCCTCAACGTCTGCCTGGACCCTCTGATCTACTTCATCTTCTGCAAGGCGTTCCGTGCTCAGATGAGCATGAGGAGGGGGGTTCACACCCAACAGAGTTCAATGCAGGAAGAGCAAACAGACACGAGGAGCAGCGACGGGTGGTTGAACTCCCTCAGAAACCTGAAAAGGCTGTCGGTCATCTCAGTGACCAGGCAAACCAGCGTTCTGTAGACCTTTCTGACTTCAGAACTCATCCATTAAAGGTGAAAAAAATCCAGAACTGAATCCAGACTGGAAGATAAAGAACGTTACTAATCTCCATCTAACATGAGATGGAGAGTTTAAGGTCAGACACAGACTTGATGCATAGTCTTCTTTGGAGGAGGAGCCTGAGTCACCAACAGAAGATAAAACATCAGATGATCGTCATTCTTTATTGTTCATTTACCTTTTCCTGAATGACTCCAGAATTTGATTTCCAGGAAGAATACATGGTTCTTCTCAAACATAGTGATGCTGTCGTCATCACCTCCAGTCCATAAGCATTCATCTTTTTAGACAGTTTAAAAGCACAGATCCAGTCCCAGTTTCCTGCCATTTTCCTTTCAAACTCATCTGAGTTTTTGGTTCATGTTTTAAAGAAGGGATGACCCATGGTTTTCATGATTTTCTGGAGATCTTCCAGATCCAGTTTATTACTGGATTTTTTTTTGTTTTGTTTATAGTTCTACTCTTCCTCAAGTCTAGTATGTCATAAAAAACCATACTCATTTATTACAAAATAATTATCCAAACATTATATAAAATGAGTAATAAAGCGTCTTTGATCATATGCAATGAGCTTTAGCATTTGTTATATTTTCAGAAAAAAAGTTTTGTTTTTTTTTATCCCCTGAAAATAACAGACTTAAGTCCATTATTACTACTGGAGGATGGAAAAGTTAAAAAGCCCTTTAAAATGCCATGGCTGAAAGAAGCCAATTATACTAAAGCTTTTGTGCTTTATTTATATATATATATATATATATATATATATATATATATATATATATATATATATATATATATATATATATATATATATATATATATATATATATATATATATATATATATATATATATATATAAAACAGTGAATGCCAACCTAATATTTCACCAATGTCCTTTTAAATGCATTGTTTAATGAAAATATCTAATAATGATAATAATTGAATTTTTTTGTTCTCACAGAAATTCACCTCTGCATTTAACCCATCCCCTTGGGGAACAGTGGGCTGCCACTTTGCAGCACCCAAGGAGCAGTGTGGGATTAAGGGTCAGGGACCCAGAGTGGGGGCTGTTGAGATCAACCGGGTACTTGCAGCATTCTCAGAGCACAAGTGCGTTGCTCTAACCACTAGGCCAACAATTTAGGCCCCGTCCACACGAAGTCAAACCCTGGCCTAAATTCACTTATTTTTCACCAAACCAGCCTCTTATCCATACAAAGCCGGCGTTTCGGGGTCTGTAACCGATCTTTTTTTTACTAAGCCTTCAGAGTGGGAAGATTTTGAAACACCGTTTTCACGGTTCCATCTTTAAGCTCTGACTGCATTTTTTTTCTTACACGCATGCGTCATAGCGTCGCCTCTAAACACGCATGCGCGACACAGTATCACAACAACAATGGCGCCGTACTGTGTTGAATGGTTGCTGCTAATGCTACTCACCCTGCTGTCGGGCTTACAACAGAATCTTCTTCTTCTGGAATATCTCCAGGAAGAACAGAGCAATATCAATGGCTCTTCTTCTAGGGGTTTTCCGGTTTGGTTGTTGTATAAATATTACTGCGCATGCCCAACATTTCGTTGCCTGTTTTCGCCTATTTTTGCTTTGGCACCACAGCGCCACTTACAGGCCTGGCATACATTTTGCAGCGTTTTCATGCATTTGTGTGGTCGATCACATTTATTTTACATCTCCGTCTTTAAGACAAACGTTCTGGAAAATATTAGCGTTTCGTGTTCGTTTTGACTTCGTGTGGACGGGGCCTTAGTTTTGGGTGTTTTTCTGAAGCCCTGTGGGGCGGTTAACATTGTTATTATTTTTGAGGACATCATTTTAAACTTCTTCTTATAATATCTAAATGTCTTCCCATTACTATAACAGCAGCTCAATGGTTTAAACCACTGAGGTCTGCTGTCAAATTTCTTCTCCATGTCTAATTAGTTTACTTTCCACAGACACGTCTAATATTGGCCAGGGTATTCATTTTCAACTTGATTCAAATAATGATTTTAGCTGTTAAAGCTAATTTATTGGTATGAACCAAAAACAAAAGTGACTTGAGACCACTGTCTAAAGCTGTCCGAATATATATCATGATGTCATCAGCATACAATATATCACCACCCTGGAATGCAGCAGGAAAAGGCAGGTTACTGGTGTAAAAATAACACAGGTCCTAAACAGCAGCCCTGCGGGACTCCACACTACAATACCTTTATATACAACTCCCTTTGGAGGATATTGATTTCTCTGAGAAAGAAAAACTCCCTTCAGTGCTCTAACGTGGTTTTAAGTTAGAGCATTGAAGGGAGTTTTTAGTGTTTAAGTTTTTTTCTAAAAACAAATTATGATCTAAATTAAAGGCAGACTTAAAGTCTAACAGAACAGCTCCATTTAACTCAGTTAATTTAAACAATGATCTTTATTGCATGTGGTTGAGTGACCTTCAGGCTAAGCACATCCATAAGGTGTAAATAGATTTTTACTTGTTCCAGTATTTCACTCAATTTGTACCATTGTAATGTCTGTAAATATGTATATATGTGTGAAATCTATGAAGTTATTTTTTTTACCCTCTGTACATGTTTGTATCTCTGCAATATTTAAAGAGGACTTTACTGAGATGTTTCAGCAGAATGGAAGTAATACACATCAATAAAGGGAAGATTCCACCCAGTTGCTAGTTTGTTACACATTGCATCTTGTTTGCATCATTTTTAATGTTAATAAAATCTTAAACTGTGATGCTTATCAGATGTTTATTTATTACATTTTTTTTCTAGTATAAAACATTTAGTTTGATGCAACTTCTCAATCTGGTCAGAAGGATCTGAAATCCGTGAATCCACTGTTAGGAAAGAAGCATACACTGGAAAAAATCAAAATCTAGACGAGTCATTTTCTTAAAATAAGTCCATTTACTCTTGGATTAAGGTAGTAAAAGAGACATCTTGCCAATGGAACAAGGCAATTTACATTTAGAATAAGAAAACAGAATAGCATTGTTTAATTTCAAGTGCATTTTATCTAATTATCTTATTTATCAGAGTAAAAATACTCATTCCGTTGGCAAACTATCTCATTTACCTACTCAAATTAAGGGGAAATACACTTAATTTAAGACATTTTTACTTATTTCTAGATCGTTTTTCCAGTGTAGAAATGCACCTTCAGAAGATCTTCCAACATGTTGAGGTCTGGTATTCCTAGAAAGTTCACGCTGAGAGCAGATCACAGGAGGCTAAAGGTCTCCAAAACCCACAACTGCTCAGAGAGAGATGGAGTGAGTTTAACTCTAATGGGGGAAACCTTTATTATAGAAAAAGAAAGATTTATGTTTGTAAAAATGGCCTTATGTGAGCCTTAGAATATTCTGATTAATTCAGATGAATTTGGTTGGTTGTTATGGGTGTTTGGTGATTTAGTTTGACTAATTTCCCACCTTTTTCACAGCGTTTACATTAAATTACATAAGGAAAATATTATATGGTAAGGTTGTAATTTAGGTAATATTTGTTTCACATTATTTATATTCCAATAAACGAATCAAAACAATAAAATCCCTGGGATAAAGTAGTTAAAGATAGACTCTCTGTGTCTACACTTTGAAGCTTTCTCTCTCAGTTTTAGAGAGGAACTAATGTTAAAGTTATATTTACCGCTTTGAAAGTGAAACCTGCAATGATATGGCATCATTTAGTATACTGTAGTTTCTTTTTCAATGTGTAGGTATTCAGTGTGGTCAGTGTTGTGCCTGAACGCGTTCATTGAACGAAAGTTCATGAACTCGTTCATATTTTGGGCGAACGTGAACTGAACGTACTGTATTACTGCCTGATGAACGTTATTGTGAACTCGTTCATTCTGGTGTCTGTGAACGGCTCGCTCTCTCAGTTCAACTCCGTTCAATAGGTTGCCTGATTTCTATAGAGCCTTCCAGGCGAAACCCCGGCTAAATCACACCGTAAACAGGCCTTAATATGTAGCGGGGAAAACACCCAATCTGGCAACACCAGCTACCAGTGTCGTAGCCTACAGCCGCGTGCGTCATCAAAACAAAATGCCTTGTGAAAGCCACAGCAGCGTGGAGGCGACCATGGAGGCGAAAAAGCAGCAGTATGATCACTTAAAACAGTTTTATGACCAGGTGGTCGGTGAGGATGATGGCAACAATCTTACATTTCTCTGCAAACTTTGCCCGCCGGCTTTCAGTTAAAAAATCTGCACTTCAGTAACCTTAAATTCCTACCTCAGCCTGGTCCCTCAGTTTGTGCTAGTAAAATGTTCTTGAGGGTTTTACTATTCATGTAACTTGTTTGTTAAACCTGCCTGGTATCATTTTCCAGGATTCCAGGATTCCTTTTTAGTATGTACTGAAATGGAATTTCAAATTGAAAAAATTATTAAAATTAAAAAAACATTTGCACCTCAAAGACTACTTTCCTGTTTTTCTTTTAATAATTCCCCATAAAAAAGACCATTCAAGCAGCACATTTTTCCTGATGTTTTTGAGAATATACTGTAGGGGTGAAAGCTGCAGCTGCTACTAGTGTGAAGTGAATGGACAGCAACAAAGCATTAAAGCAACAATGGGGAAATGCTGTCCCCTCAATGCTAATGTAAACCCTGGTTGGATAAGGATTCAAAACTGGATATGAAGATGAAATCTGACGCACAGTTTCAGTGTTACAACTGATAAAATAATTGCTGTCTGTGGTTCTACAGTCGGCTATGAAGTAATTGAGAAATATATGAAAAAAAAAAAAAGAACTATGAACTAGTTATTTTTTTGGAACTATGAACTGAACTAGTTCATTTTAAAATGTGTGAACTGAACTTTGAACTAGTTCACTTAGAAAGAGAACTTTCCCAACACTGAGTGTGGTTACTTTAAAATCCACTCTAGGGTCATTTTACTTGACTTTTAAACTCTAACCACTCGAAGATCATCTGGAAGTGATGCTAAACTGCAGCTGCTCAGAGTCTACAGATATTATTTTAATTAACAGCTCAGGCTTAACCCCACAGTGGAAAAAAACACAGTTGACAGTAATGGTGGTATCAAACAAGATTAGACTACACTTGGACTTAGACAGATTTATTTTGTCTTTTTGTATACACAAGTGTATACAAAAAGACATTTAGTTTAAAACAGTTCTAGACAATTTGAAAAAAAAAATGTAATATAAACATATGACTGTATATTTACAGTTCTAAGATGATTTTTAATTTTTTAATAAATAAAATAACCCATTCTACAAAACATTCAGCAGTCTAATGGCAGACTGTTACTTGGTTTTCCAGGAGTGGACTTGAACGGATCATGTGGAGGTTTTCCCCTTGCTCAGTGAGACTCAGTAAATCCTTCCAGGGGTAGAAGGTCCAGGCTTATCCAGTAACACAGGAAGTCTTCCTGTCGAAGAACAAAGACAAAAAACAAGTTCAGACTCAGAGAAACAATGCTATGGTTAGACTCTGCTCATCTCAGTTTGGCTAGAGTACCCAATACTGGCAAACACTCTGGCGTCGAGGTGGTGACAGCCTGCTGCTCAAGTACTCCTCTGGTAATGACCCAACGAGCCGCAGGTGTGCAGGAAGGCCCAACGAGGACAGGGCACCGCCTGGTGGTGGAGAGAGGAAAACACAAAAAACAACCCACACAAACTGGACTCATAACACCATTAAAGTGAGAAGAACACATTATTCAGATAGGACTGAACCAAAACCCTTTAATACAGCAGAGTCTTTTACTCTGCAAAAGTAAAACAAAACAAAGAAATTAAAATGCTCAACATGTGTCATCTCAAGGAAAGGAATTGATGAAGAACAGAACAGGAGCAGCTGGGAAAGACACAACCAGGAAGATTATTCATCATTCATTCAAAATGGTCCTTCCCAGTCAAACTCCAGCCGAATGGCAGCCCGCTACCTCCAACTCCCAGTGAAATCCCCTCCAGCTTCCAGCCACTGCAGTGACCCCCTCTCACATATTTTCTACTGACTCCTCCCTTTCACTAGCCTGACGTAGTCCGACTCAATTCTAGTCAGAATATGAGTCTGATACTGCTCCATAGAGCTGTGATTATGGGGCGTGTTTCGAACGAACCAGGAACAAAAAATGCCTCTGCACTCAATTGGATAGACCTACAACCTATAAGAGCAACGGAGTGCGTGACGTATGTTAAGAGAGGCATAGTTGTTGTCCACAAAAATCAAAGCGTGCAGTTGCACGCCTTGAATAAGAAGATGAGCCTTGGTCGCGTTTCTCTGTTCCTCTTTTAAAATTAATTTGCTGTCGATATCTTCTAGAACAGACCTAATAGCAGAATCTACTCACCTAAACTCTCCAGCGGCAGCCATTATTGTTGTCACCCAATGCGCGCTTTGGTCACGTGGTTGATTACGTTACTGTTGATCATCTAATAATAATAATAATAAATCCAATTTTGTACCGCACTTTTCATTAAGAAAAATCTCAAAGTGCTACACAGTGCAAATAAAATCAAAGATAAAAATAAACAACATAAAAATCATGTGGTCAATAAAATCAAAGATAAAAATAAACAACATAAAAATCATGTGGAGGCAGAATAGGCTTGCTTAAATAAAAAAGTCTTCAAGCCTCTTTTAAAATCATTCAATGGTTGTGGAGCTCTCAGATGATCTGGGAGAGAGTTCCAGAGACGGGGGGCAGCGACAGCGAAGGCCCGATCTCCCATGGACCTTAATCTGGAGCGAGGAAGGTGAAGGAAGTTGCAGTCTTGTGATCGAAGAGATCTGGTGGATGAATGTGGAGTGAGAAGGTCCTTCAGATAATCCGGTGAGGATCCGTTTAAACACTGATGGGTGATGAGCGCGATTTTGTATTGAACTCTGCAGGTGATGGGAAGCCAGTGAAGGTCATGCAGAATAGGTGTAATATGGGCAAATTTGCGGGCCCTCAAGAGAATCCTGGCTGCGCTGTTTTGAATGTATTGGAGCTTCTGAAGATGTTTTTTATGGATTCCAACAAACAGAGAGTTGCAGTAGTCTAACCTGGAGGAGACAAATGCATGAACGAGAGTCTCAGCATCAGAAAAAGAAAGGAACGGACGAATTTTGGAGATATTACGAAGATGAAGGAAACAGATTTTAGACAGATGCTTAATGTGATTTTCAAAAGTAAATTGAGAATCCATTCTAACTCCAAGATTTGTAACTATGGTGGAAAATGGGATGTCTTGTCCAGAAAAGGAAACAGTCGTCATAGTTGAAGATTGAACCTGGTGAGGTGTTCCGATCAGCATGGCCTCAGTTTTGGAGCAGTTCAACTGAAGGAAATTCTGAGTCATCCACTTCCTTATCTCCTCCAGGCAGGTAGTGAAAGCATTAAGTGAAGATGGTGATGATGCTCCAGTTCTAATATAGAGTTGTATATCGTCGGCGTAGCAGTGAAAGGAGATGTTATATCGATTTATGATTTGACCCAAAGGCAGCATGTAAAGGGAAAACAGCAGGGGCCCTAATACTGACCCCTGTGGGACACCACAGGAGACAGAGACAGCCTGGGACTTGGCCTTGCCGAGGCTAACACATTCCAGCCGATTGGAGAGAAAAGATTTAAACCAGTCCAGAACGGTGTCACAGAGACCGACCTCCACATGAAGACGGTGTAGTAGGATGTTATGGTCCACAGTGTCAAAGGCTGCAGTTAGATCAAGGAGAACAAGGAGAGATGTAGACCCAGCATCAGCTGCCATGTAGATGTCATTAGTAACTCTCAGCAAAGCGGTCTCAGTGCTGTGAGCAGAACGAAACCCAGACTGAAATTTCTCGTACAGGGAGTTTTGTTCTAGATGAAGCTGCAGCTGAGCGGCAACAGCTTTTTCCAGCACTTTTGACAGAAAAGGAAGATGTGAAATTGGGCGGTAATTTATACGATGATCTGTCCATCATCGTATAAAGCCCGCCCTGACAATTTGATTGGATCGCCAGAGGGTGGGCGATCATACTCGCACTACTATGGAGCAGAGCCAGACCGAACTTCCCGACCTCAAACTTTGTGGGCGGGACTAAGTTCGGAATGGCACCCAGGCTACCCTTTCACTGCATTACAGGGTATAACCACGAGGTGAAGCTTCTGTTCTTCTTAATGTCCACAAATGACGGCAGAAAGAATATCTTATTACAAATATTGATGTTTAAAAAGGAATTGAATGGGGACCAGCCAAGGGTCCATCAAGGAAAGTGGGGAAATTTTGAGGTCTTCTATTTTAGATCAGGAGGCCTGGATAAGGAGCAGAAAATCCAGCCCACTGAGGACCTCTAGTGGCCTCAAGAGGGAAAACAACAAGGGGACAAAAAAGGGTTGAAGTAAAGAAGAGGAGGTGAAGACAACATATTTGTGCTTTTTTGGTAACAATTTCAAAACTTTTCTCTTGTTAGATGAGGAGTAGCTTTGTGTAGGGAGGTTTTCCAGTCAGCACTTTTGGTTTCTGATGAATTTGATCATATATTCGCAGACATCTGAGTAACAAATCTCCTTTTTCTCCCCAGTGACATTTAGATAACAGATTTCAGATCAGCCTGAAACTAATTTCATCATCATGGAAATACCTAAAGTAATGGTGTGTGTAAGTGTGTGTTTTTGAGTGTGTGTGAGTGTAGGGGGGGGGGTTATTGAGATAGGAGGTAGTGATTGCGGTCACAGTGACGACAGCAGCTTGCTGTGAGCAGACAGGAAAACGTCTTCCTTCTGTTTGAGGCTTCCTCAGCTCAGAGCACATGAACTACTGCAGCACACTGAATCCAGCACACCCTGCAGATCTACCAGGCCCACTGGGAACCAGGGCACGTTCCGAGGGGCCCAACGCATGGTCTGAGACCCAATGACTGTACGGTAGAGCCAGCCAAAAAGGTCAGTTTTTAACTTGGTTCTGCCTTGTTTAGAAGGTAGAATCAAGACTCCTAAATTCACTATAGAGAAAATGAAATAGAGACAGTAAACAAAAGAGATTCTGATTGTTATGTTGGGCTTTTAAATTAAAATGTTGGAGGAGGAGTTTATTTTAACAGAGTTTATTTTAGAAGTTTGGTATTTCTGTAGGTTTTTAGACCTGATAAGAAACCTGCTGGAGGATTGGAAGACTCCATTACATACAAGGTATAAAGGAAAGGAAGAAAAAATACTGAATAATCTACAAATAACAAAAAAATTCTTAAATTAAGTTATTTACCCTTAATTTGAGTATGTAAGTGAAATAGTTTGCCAATGGAACGGGTATTTTTACTCTTGAAATAAGATAATTAGATAATATTCACATAAAATAAGACAATGCAATTGTGTTTTCATATTTTAAGTGTAAATTGTCTTGTTCCATTGGCAAAATGTCTCATTTACCTCCTCAATCCAAGAACAAATGTACTTATTTTAAGAAAAAATGACTTATCGAGATTACGATTTTTCCAATGGAGGTAGAAATCAACCAATCAGAGCTGTAAAGCGGGTAATATTTAAGCGTTCCATTTGTGAGTTTACTGGTTTAATCTTGTTAGATGTGAGTCAATAGAAATAGAAAACTTTGAACCAATCTGACTGTATGATCTGGATGAATTGTCTCTGTGAAGTGCCTTGAGGGGACGTGTTGTGAATGAGCACTATATAAATAAACTGAATTGAATGTAGTTGTTTTATCTTTCTCATGAAGGCTGATGAAGATGTTGTGTGAATTTTTGTGAAGGCATTAGAAGATTTAGTCGTCCCACCTGCAGCAGCGGCCCTGTCCTCATTAAATCATCTGTTTATGTGGTGAAATCAGGAGTTTTTCGTATATTCATGGATCCATGACAGCCTCATTCTGGTTTCGGTTTGCCATAGCAAGACCTCATTCTGGTGGGTTTATTGTGTTTCTCAGTCTGCAGCCTGGATGCTCTGCACTGTGAAGCTTTTCGCTCTATTTGCTGACTCTTTGTGCCTTTTCAGCATAAACCTTTTAATCTATTTGCTGCATATTGTTGTTCCGTCACTTACCAAGAAACTTTTGTAGCTAAGCTCTACTTCTTCCAGTAAATCGCCCCACATCAGGAGGAAAAACATAAATTGAAGCCATTGCGTCAAGCTTTTTGGGGAGAGCTAAAATAAAACCTGCAGTTCTGATGATGCATCTCACTTTATTCAACTTCCTCTATCTTAAAAAGGACCTGGTAGCTGGCCATGTGATCCCACGTGTGTGAGAGGAGTTTCTGTGAATTCTCTGAGCTGAAAGAGTGGGACAGTGATGAGAAACTCCAGGCTGTGAACACAGAGCAGTGAAAACACGTCACCCTGTACTGCAGCGGGGGAAAAAAAGACGTTAAAAATATTAAAATTAGAACATGTTTATAAGTGTTACACGAACGACAACTGTTGCATATAAAAAAAAAAATGGTTCTTTGCAAACCCTGACAAGCATATTACCACATAGATTTGATTCACTTCCTGACAGACACTCAGCACACTTCAGCTTCCTCACTCAGTAAAAAGTGAGCATGTTAAAAGTAACGGTTGCACTTTTAACATACTCACCAATGTAACAGATCACTAATATTCCAACACCTCTGGACCTACAAACCTTCAATGCATTCAGTTTTCAATGTTCCTGCATCCTAAAATCAGCACTGGTGAACCCCAAGGCTGTGTACCTGGTCCCTTTCTCTTTCCTCTTAATTGCTTCATGCAGTGAAAGTTAAATTTCATCACAGCTTATATGAAATCTGCATCTAAACTAATCATCCAGTCATCCTGATCTGCCAGCAGTTGTGTTTGTCTGTGCTAAAGGCCAATTAGGATCTGGTTTTGCTAAGCTCACTGCAAAAAAAAGTAATTTTCCTTAAAATAAGTGCATTTTTTCTTGAATTGGGTGGTAAGTACATTGCAAATGGAATAAGACAATTTACATTTACAATGAGAAAGAGCTATTTGCATTGTCTTATTTCAAGTGCATATTGGCGTTTACTTATATAGCGCTTTTTCAAGTCAGGAGACTTGACCAAAGCCCTTTATGCTAGGGTTAGCATGAAGGAAGCAGCAGAGGCAGCAGAAGCAGCTAGTTTCCATGAAAAGTTAATGGCTGACATGCATCACGGCACAGCAAAAGGTCCTGCAGCTCGCTTTGAACAGCACGAGCAGCACGTCATGAGCTTCTGGCAAATGCAACGCACTTAAGAAGCATCAGCTGCTGGAGTTGGAAAAATTAAACTATTGCTGCTCGACGCATCGTATCGACCAATCAGAGAAGCTGATCTGGGAGCTGGCAGGGAGACAGACACAGATGATGCAGATCGCTGTGTTCGCGCCTCTGAAACTGTTTTTTAATGCCTAAATGAACTTAAAATGTTAAAACCTGCCGGCAAAATAAGTTAGATTTTATTATTCTGGTGCCTACAGTTTGGATTACGTGAAAACAAAAAAAGGCGACCAGGCCAGAGGCTGCTATTGAACGGGATTCCCAGTGAGCTTTCTCACTTAAAAACATTTAAAAAATTACTTTTTCCCACTTATAACAGAAAATATAGCTGCCATTATTACAGGCAAAGAAAGGAAGTAGCTCCCCCCCACCCGCATCCAGACCCACTTTCCACCGCACAGCTAGAGCAACAAAGATGCTTCAGCTGCGCGTCAGAACTAAACTTGTACATGTCAGGTTTCTGTTATGTTTTTCTTTTGAGTATTCAGTCTTACTTTACTCCTTGTTTTCTAGTGTTTAGTCTTCTTTTCTCCATGTTTTATAGTCCTAGTAATTTATAATTTTGTTATTTCCAGTCTTCCAGGTTTCTTTGTTGCTTTCTGCTGCCCTCTTATGTTCTCCTTTTTCCCTAGCTCTTTTCCACTCTTGCTCTGTGCACACCTGCTCCTAGTTTCCCCATTAGCCCCCTCTTTGTCTCAGTCTCCCTTAAAAGCCCTCTCTCTTCAGTTCCCCTTTGCTGCGTCCTCATCAAACGCCGTCAAACATGCTCCAACTCCTTCTTTCTGAGCCTTCCTCCTTATGATTGTGATTCCCCTGATGTCTCCATGGTTTCTGGTACGTTTAGACCAGTTTTTTTTTTTTAGACTTGTTTTGATTTTTGGATTTTTGGACTCCTGGTTTCATGTTTGTTTGGACTTTGTTTTCTTTTTGGACAACCTGCCTCTGTTTTCTGTTAACTCATAATTAAATCCACAAGAGATTCACCTCCGCCTCCCTGCCTCTGCTTTTGGGTCAACTAACCATAGCCAAATCGTGACAGTACAAGCATCAAAAACGAAGAAGCACACATGTTTTTGCTGACTCTCCTGCTTGCAGTCTCAACGGAACATGACACCACATTCAGTCATTCACCTATTCACACGCTGATGGTGGCAAATTACGGTTGTAGCCACACATTCCCTGGGACTCACTTACAGAAGCGAGGCTGCCGTACACTAGAAAAACAATCTAGAAATTAGTAAAAATGTCCCTAAATTAAGTGTATTTACCCATAATTATTTTTTTAAATAAGATCATTAGATAATATGCACTTGAGATAAGACAATGCATTTTTGTTTTCTTATTTTAGGTGTAAAATTGTCTTGTTCCATTGCCAAGATGTTAGTCTGACGTAGTCCTACTCGATTCTAGTCAGAATATGAGTCTGATACTGCTCCATAGAGCTGTGATTATGGGGCGTGTTTTGAACGAACCAGGAAAAAAAATGCCTCTGCACTCAATTGGATAGACCTACAACCAATAAGAGCAACGGAGTGCGTGACGTATGTTAAGCCAGGCATAGTTGTTGTCAACAAAAATCAAAGCGTGCAGTTGCACGCCTTGAATAAGAAGATGAGCCTTGATTGCGTTTCTCTGTTCCTCTTTTAAAATTAATTTGCTGTCGATATCTTCTAGAACAGACCTAATAGCAGAATCTACTCACCTCAACTCTCCAGCGGCAGCCATTTTTGTTGTCACCCAATGCACGCTTTGGTCACGTGGTTGATTACGTTACTGTTGATCATCTGTCCATCATCGTATTAAGCCCGCCCTGACAATTTGATTGGCCTGCCAGATATTGTGCTAGCATACTCGCGCTACTACTGAGCAATGCCAGACCGAACTTCCCGACCTCAAACGTTGTGGGCGGGACTAAGTTCGGAATGGCACCCAGGCTAGCAAGATGTCTCTTTTACCTTCTCAATCCATGAACAAATGCACTTATTTTAAGAAAAAAATACATATCTAGTGCTCTGGCTACCATCAATAGGCAATGCAGGGGAAGTGTCCTGCCCAAGGACACAACGACAATGAAAGCTGGAGCCGGTGCTCAAACCGATAACCCTGATTGCAGGGCAAACTCCTGCACCCGATGCCACTGTCGCCCCTTATCTAATTATCTTATTTTAAGAGTAAAAATACTAATTCCATTGGCAAACCAGCTTATTTGCCCACTGATATTAAGGGTATATACACTTAATTTAAGAAATGTAGACTTGTTTGTAGATAATTTTTGTAGCGCAGAGAACAGGATGTTCAGTAAAGGCGCAAACGCTTCAGATGCTAAATCTGTTAATTTTGCTCTGACCAATGTTTTACTCTTCAGCTTGTTATTTTGAGCCACTGTTCATGTGGTTTTGCTTGATGTTTGCAAATAAAACATACAGTAACCCTGAAAAGGTTTGCAATAAGTTCACTGAGAATAATTAGAGCTCTGAGTTCTTAATTAGAGGTGTGACCATTAATCAAAAAAAAAAACCAAGCTGAGAAAAACCAAGAACAATGTTTCAGGAAGTTACTGAGGTGAATTTAAAGGCTTCGGTTTCCTCTTTGCACAGGTGGTGTTATTAAACTATAGTAAGCCCAGGTTCACCAAAACTGAATACAGAGGCTTAAAGAATTTGGACTAAACTGAAAATTTAACCCCACAAAAACGTAAAAAAAAAAAAAAAGAAAAAAAAAAAGATTAAATTAAATCCACTCTGTGAACATATAATCAGTGCAACGTAATAATGAGCTACTGAGGAAGCCCAGCCAATGTCTTTCAGTCGGTAATTCTGCCTCACGTACTAAAACTTGCAGTTGGTTCCACTGTAGAGGAGCCTGATAAAAAGATCTGCCTCCTATTTTTCAAATTCTAAGAACCACTAGAAAACTTGCAGATTTACAGCAAAGCGCTCTGTAAGGAACATAAGGATCAATCATATCTTTGATATAAGATGGAGCTTGGCCAATTAAGGCCTTATATGTTGAAAACAGGATTTAAAATCATATTCTGGATTTAACAGGAAGCCATTAAAACGAAGTTAAAATATGATTAATGTGATTTCTCTTTTTTATTTTAAAGATTAAAGAGATGTTCTGGTCCACTCGTTACTCCAAAGTTGATTCAATGACCTCTGAAGGTTCCACTACAGCAATTGTCTCAGGTTCAGGTCTAGATTTTGAGTTAGCCATTGGATCTCAGTCCTGCTTCTGTTTTGTTAGGTTTAGGTCTCTCCTTCCTGCCCCACACCTGAGCTTTATGAGTGTAAAATTCGCAGGTTTTGCAGTACTTGTTGACTGCTGAGGACGGTCACTGGACTAGACCATACAAGAACTGTTTTGGTTTCCTTTTCCAGCCGTTCTGTTATGGAACTGCTTCTGTTTTCGGGATCATTGTCCTGTTAATGACCCCGTTTGGTCCAAACTTCAGCTCTAGGATATATAGAGTAACATTTGATGCTAAAATAAAGGTCACTGCATCCTAGTGGGTCAGAGAGGCACTGCAGGGGGATTGTGAATTTTTTAACCTCTTACCAACGGCAGAGCTTAAATCATTCAGCCCAAGATTTACTTTGTTTTATCACACACAAATAAAGCAAAGTAAAATCCGCAATGTTTAACTTAAAATAAAAAAACAGCTTTTAGGTGCCACCTTTACACACTTACAAAAAGTTAGTGATTAGAAGTGATACCTTTGGAATTTTCTGATTTATTTTAGTTGTATTTCTCTTCATATTGAAATCATTTCTAAACCCTACCTAGCTTAAGGGGTTAAACCTTCAGGCTAATAAAGATAAATTCGGGGATAAGTCGATGTGAGCCCTGATCCAAACACAATGGTAGAAATTGGGACAAAGACTAAGTCAGGGCCATGGAAGCAGGAATAAGCAACGGGCAAAGGTGGCGTTAAAGCAGTTAAACAATAAGCTCACTTTAGAAAAACCACCAACTCCAAACATTTAGTCTGTTATAATTCCAGTTTAATCTGAAACCTGATTCCTTTACAAGCAGGTTTCACAGTTTGAGTTTTGTTGCCCTTTAAATTAAGGTCAACTTCTATTTTCTAACCTTTCTATTTTTGTAATTCACTGTAATGGAGAGAAATAATTTTTATCCGATTTTGTAGTAGAGTTAATCTGAGATTATATTTTTTATATGCTTTATTGCTCAAAAATGCGTTAATGCAGATTTATTGAATTTTGACAAGCTTAGTGCCTGACCTTATCTTCTGTTGGGTGTTACTCTTTCTGGTCTGTTGCTCAGCTTCTGTCTCCCCCTTACTTTGCTCCCAGCCTCAAACCCTTGATGTCCCTGCATGACATTATGAGACTAGGGTTATAAAGAGTTTAAACAGTTTAAAAAGAGCTTAAATTTTTAAAAAGCAGCATCTGTTGAGATATTTCTTGAAAAAGTTGGGAAAATGGGCAGCAAATGCATCTGCCAATATATTACAATATTACACTATGACCTTGGATAATCTGGCAATGTTTGTAAGCTTATAAACTCAGAAAAACGGGTGGAGAAACCAAGGCATGATGAGGGCGGAAACAATGATCTAAACGTTGAAGGGCAGCTGATTTTTTTCAGAGTTATCTCTGTTCTCTTATCAGCTTTGAATTATGTCAACACAAACCTGTTAGTTTATGAGAATGATTAGTTTCTCATCTCATTAGATTAACGATTGTATAAAGTTTGGTGGAAGAAGAACTGATGGAGTTTTTGAATGTGTCGTGTGTCAGATTGTGATGAATAAGGGCTGGTATTTAGCCTTTAAATGTATAACAGATGAGATCTTTTTCAGCAGACAGCGAAGCTGAATGCGACTGAACAGAAGACCAGCCTGCAGCAGCAGCAGCCTCTGAATTTAGCTGACAGTAAGCAGCAAACACACCTGTAACACGTCTACTTTCACTTCCCCTTTGAGGTCTTTGACGCAAACAGGAACCTCTGTGTGTTCTAGATTCAGACCGAGCTGATCACGATGACTCCCTCCTTTAACATCACCTCAGGAAATGCTTCAGAGGGGAAGGAATGCATCCTCAATGACCAGATGGGCCCCTTTATTGTCCTCTACTGTCTCATCCTCAGCTTAGGTCTGCCTGGGACCCTGCTGTCAGTGTGGGGGTTCATCCTAAGCTGCAGGCCTCAGGTTTGGACTGCAGAACTCATCAGATGCTTAAAAGCTTTAAGCAACTTGTGACAAAATCTCAGGGATTGCGCCAAGAAATACTCACTCTGCAAAGATGATGTCATGAATAATCTTACCAGCAGGACCTCTAGTACCTTTTTATCTTTGTCCACTAATCAGAGCAGGAATGATCGTCCAGTTCAGCAGGTTTTATTCCTCCACAGAAACAGAGATGGTCACATTTTGACCTGCAGGTTTCCCCATACATTTATTTTTTTACATTACATTACAGTGTCACAAGTACAGAGCAACAAAATAAACTCTCTGCATTTAGCCTATCCCCTTGGGGAGCAGTACAGGGGTTAAGGTTCTTTGCTCAGGGACCCAGAGTGGCAGTCTTTAGGAGCGGGACTCAAACTCAGAACCTTAGGATTCCAAGCTCTATGCCCTAACCACTAGGCCATCGCTCTTTAGAAAGATTTACTGTACGCAAACACTATATGGAGCTAAATTGGGGCCATAAACCTTGTAAAAAAATAAATAAATAAATAAACCTGAAAAAAGTGTGTGTTTGGAAAAGAAAATACCTAAAAATAAATTGGTTCAAAAGGAAACATTTTCAACCTGACAAATAAAGGTTTCCCACAAAAGAGGTCCTCAATTACCAAGGTATAGATTGGTTCGGGAAAAAGGTTCTTATAAAACCATCATTTTTAAACATTGTTCTTTTATTAATCGTGACAATAAACCAAATATCATCCATCCATCCATTTCCCGTGACGCTTTATCCCAGATAGGGTAGCGAGGGGTGTTGGTGCCTATCTCCAGCTATTAATGGGCGAGAGGCGGGTTACACCCTGGACAGGTCGCTAGTCCATCCCAGACCAAAAATAAGAAGAAGACAATAAAAGGACAAACACTGAAAATTAGAGTTGTGTGTTTTCCAGATCCACTGCTATGAATCTTATGTTCTTCATTCTGGATGTTGATCACTGAGTGATTACTGGTTGTGTCTCAGCAGATGCGAAGCACCACCGTCTACTTGATCAACCTGCTTCTAGCCGACATCCTGCTTCTCCTCGTGCTCCCATTTAAGATTTTGAAGGACCTCCAGGCAGCACCATGGGAGCTCATGGTGTTCCAATGCCAAGCCAGTAGCGTCACCATGTACATTAGCCTGTACGCATCCATCGCCTTCCTCGCCTTCATCATCGTAGACCACTACCTCAAGGTAGAGCGCTATCTTTGACGATTAAGAGCAGAATCTAAGGATTATGTGCATCCGTGATGGTGGTACTAGGAGTGTCTTCTGTTGCAGGACCGCCACACGGCGCAGTCTCTGCGGCTGCAGGAGGCCGGCTTTGCCTGGCTGCTTTCGCTGGTGGTCTGGATGCTGCTGCTGCTCATCATGGTGCCAAACATGGCTCTTCCCACAAAGGAGGTTGAGGTACTATGATCCTGATCTGTCCAAAGAAACATTTTCTGAAGCACCACAACTAGCACTGATACTGATAAAAAGCCTCCTATAAACCTATAAATCTTAGTTGGAATTGAAAAAAATAAAAATGAAACAAAAAAAATTAGAAACTAAAAAAGCAAACATAAAATAACAAGAATTAAATCTAAATTATTCCTTTAGCTTGAAAAAACTCATAATTGAGTTTAGCATTTAAATTAAACTTTGTCTTTTCATATTTCTTTTGCTTTATTGCAGATTATAAATTTTCAGATTCAAATCTTTCAGTTTCTATTTTTATTTTTAGTTTCAAATTCCTTTTCAGTTTTAGGATTTTTTGTTTTTTTAACACTTTCAAATCAGTTTTTTTGTCACATTCTGATTTTGACCCCAATCTGACAGGAGTGGGCGGGGAAACATGATTGACAGCTTGCAGGAGCAAAGAAAAGAAATAAAAAAGAAAAAGCGTAAATAAAATATTAAACTAAATTTAGATTCAATCCTTATTATTTTATGTTGCTTTTTTAGTTTCTCACATTATAAGGTAAAAATTTTACATTTGACGCCAACTTCTATTTTTTTCATTTTCAACTAAGATTTAAAAGTATACAAACATTTTGACCCCTTTCTGACTCCATAGGTTTCAGATTGATGACTAAAGGCTGTTTCCTTTCTTCCAAACTGTGGAAGGAATTTTCTCATAACAGCCATTAACAAAAAACCACAAACTCTCTTTGCTGATTTTAGCAGTTTGATAGCAGATCTTTCGTTAGGTTTTATGATGTCGTGACCCTTAAACCGTGGATTAAATAGTACCGCCATATTTTTTTTAAGAAGGATTAAGGTTCTTGTTTCAACTCGTTGGTATGGAGGCACTGTTTATTTTTGTTTGACTTTCTATTGAAGTAATTTTGGTCGTTCTAATGTTGACAGTTGAATTCCGCTTTAGTTGAACAGCTCCCTCCCCCTTTACAGTTCCTCTTAAGGTTTCAGAGCTCTCTGTCTTATCTCCGCCATTTCTCCTGCCTGAAACTGTTTGATTTAATCACCGACTTTAAACTTGCCTTAAAACCTTCCAGGTTGTGTTTATGACCAGATTATTTCTGCTTCAACCGTTCAGGTGTCAAAGTACCTCAAATGTATATCATTGAAGACGGACCTTGGGCTCCACTGGCACAATCTGACTGTGTTCCTCAACACGACCCTGTTCCTCAACACCTCTGCAGCCGTGCTCGTCTCCAGCGGCCTTGCCCTAAAGAGATTTCTGCGCAGACGCAGCGACCCTAAACTGTCGCAGGACTCCAGGCGTGTGGTGTTGAGCGTGACCACCATGGCGCTGGCCTACATCCTCAGCTTCGTCCCTTACCACGTGTTGCGGACCCCGTATACGCTGACCCAGAATGATTTCATCAAGAACTGCAATACCAGAAGGCAGCTTTTCCTGGGGAAGGAGTCGACGCTGTTTCTGAGCCTGCTGCATGTCTGCCTCGACCCGTTGCTCTTCTTCAATCTCGATGCTCCGTTCAGAGTACGAGTCAGAAGGCTACTTTCCTGCAGCAGATACCAGGCTGCCATCACAGAGGAGCAGGTTGTGGAGGAGGAGATATCACAGAATGGCGATGGAAAGCAGGATGCAGCGTACAACAACTCTAAATATGAACAGGAATTGACTTAATCTACACAGTTTCCAGACACATGAACTGGATACAGTCGGATTTAATTAGCTACAAAATGTAAATAAGATCAGGAATGTACTGTTAATAAACATTATTTGATTTTTTGACGCCATCTCTTATGTTGATTCAGGGAACACACTCATTTAATGTCGTTTGGACTCTCTAACCATGGTGCTGCTAAAAACTCTTATTGTAAAACATAACAAATGTTTAAAGGTTTTGTCTTATTGTGATTTTTTGCATTAAATAAAATCAACATCTGGAACAGTCTTTAGGTTGTTAGAGCTGAAACCTGTTGTTTGGTGAGGCAGGCAGCAGAGGGCAGTGTTCTTTAGGATGTTTCTTAAAGCTCATTTCTTTGTGAAAGAATTATCTTTGAATTCTTGATGAATTTCAAGTTGCAGCCTTTTTTCTATTCAACAGCAGTTTTAGAGAACTTATAAAGTCTTTCTGAGATACAATTAATAATTTAAGGTGAAACAAAGTAGCATAACACTTATTTAATCATTGAAAAAGACATTAGTTCTGAAATTCACTGAAACTGTCATATACTCACTTGAAATAAACTACAGCAAGTTTTATTTAGTTTCCATCTGGTCAGATGAGGCCAAGGACGAACCCCAGCCTTTAAATAATGTGCATAAACCCAAGCTTAGCTTTTTATTTGGAAAAAAAAAAAATCTAATCTGGGCACAAAAATGACCTTAACAAGATAATCTGATTAGGTCACTTTAAAATGGTCAATTACATTACAGCGGTAAAACCAAGAACTTCAGGAAATCCACAGGAGACACGTGGAGACAATGAAGCTGCTGTGGGAGGATGGCCTCAGTGGAGACACCATGAAACCAGAGCAAAGGTTAAACTGGTGATAATATTACTTTTAATCCACATAAATTATATAAACAAAGTTTATGGTGACTGTAACACAGCTCAGCATGGCGTAATGATCCAAAACACTAGTGTCATGCTTGCTAAAAGCAGCTTAAAGACAACAAGTTAAATGAGGAACATCTAAAGATGGCTCTGAGCCCTGAGCAGATTTCAGATGAGAAACTGATCCGTAGTCAGAGTTGCTTTTATTCATCTCGTAGAAGCTTTCATTGCAAACATTAACAATAGGGAAGTTCAGCAAAAATGGTCCATGAAGTTGACGAACTAAAACAGTGAAACAGCTTAAAGGGGAATTCCGTTTTTTCACATTGGGCCCTTGATTTTACGTTATTACATCATGTTCTACTCACCCATATGAGTTTTGTGTAATTTGGAGCTGTTCTGAAGATATTCCGTTAGGTTATATGTTCCTAACAGAGCACTTCACCCTCAATCTGCAGGTTTACTAGTGGTTCCTAGAATTTCTAAAAGTAGAATGGGAGGCAGATCTTTTAGTTATCAGGCTCCTCTCCTGTGGAACCAACTACCAGTTTTAGTCTTTGAGGCAGACACCCTGTCTATTTTTAAGGCTAGGCTTTAAACTTTCCTTTTTGATAAATCTTATAGTTAGAGGGGTTCAGGTTATCCTGAGCTATCTCTATAGTTATGCTGCTATAGGCTTAGACTGCTGGAGGGCATAGGGACCCCTATTTCATCATTCTGCTTCATTCTATCTCTATTCTCCTACTCTGCAGAATCTGTTAGTTCAATCTCTAATGTTCTGTTCTCTCTGCTGTTTCTCATAGTAGCTTAGCCTCCTCTGTTTCTCTGACCGTGACTGGCTGGATGTGCTCTCTTCATCCTCTGGCATGGGAGCTGGCTCGGAGCTCCTCTGCCTGGCTGTGTGTTTCCTGGACGGGGCCGCCTTTTGCAGTTGCTTTTTGTGTCTCTGCTTCTGTTTCCTTGAACCCCAGTCGGCCTCAGCAGATGGCCGCTCACACTGAGCCTGGTTCTGCTGGAGGTTTCTTCCTGTTAAAAGGGAGTTTTTCCTCTCCACTGTCGCTACAAGCATGCTCAGTGTGAGGGATTGTATTTGATTCAATGAGTCGATGCAATCAACTTATTTTCCTTAGATAGAAAACTGAATATATTTGACTGGATGATCTGGTTGAACTGTAAAGTGCCTTCAGATGACTTGTGTTGTGAATTGGCGCTATAGAAATAAACTGAATTGAAATTGAATTATATCCAGGTAACATCTTCCTATGGTCAATGACTTGAAGGCACAAACTAAACTGTTCATAATTTATTCTTTATGGTACGCCAGCATTCATAACATGTAGGCGCATCACTGTCCCCCAGACATCAACAGTTATATTTTTTATATTTATATCTTTAAAAACAAAGAAGCGCGTGTATAACGTCACCCGTGTGCGCCGGCCACCATTCAATCATCCTGTCCGCTGAACTGCTGCTAGTTTCACTCACATGCCTGGAAGATGTCTAGTGCTAATACCACAGATGATCTCGCTCTCGAGATGGAATTGAACGATTCAGGTTAGCTAGCCGAATGAAAAGAAGGGGTAGAGCATAGCTGCCTGTGCCCCGGGCTGCCTGTCACAAATCCATTCAGAACTCAAAACGGCGTTCCCCTTTAAAGTCGTAGGGAAGAGGCTGTTCCAACTGCTGCATTTCTGAATTCTCCCGAGTGGTGCACGACTTTACACGACTGAATAAAATGAATGTGATCGTTTATCAAGATGGTGGGATTGTTGTAGCGGAAGGTTTGCAAACAAGTTTGATTCTGGTCGGTGACTTAGAAACGACAATGGCAAAGAACACTATGGACAGCGGAAACATGTAAGAGGAGGAGAGTTTGGTGTCAGAGAGGGGAGCTAGGAAGGAGCTAGGACCAGGAAGCAGTATGCTTCCTAGCCCCAATGCAGTTAGCATAAGGACATCCTGATGTCTCTATCCACTGCTAGAAAGCCTTCACATGTATTGAGGTCTATGGGGGAGGCTTCAGTTGTTTGATACATTTGTGTGACCTTGGTTTTTAGTAGCTCTTTTTCGTATGGCTGTAGATCCAATTTGAGAAGGGTCATTCATACGTGTTTTCGCTCCGTTAATCAGCACAACAGTCTGGAACTCCTTTCCTAGCCTGGATAGTGTTCGTACTGTTGACCCCATGATATGTCAAGAGATAGAAGCTCAACGATACAGTTAGAGGTATACAGCTTGAGCCATTGCAATTGAAGTTAGAAACGAGCTCAAATGCAACATGTAGCTGTCTCTTTTAAACTGGTCCACATGCAGACTAGTGAATGGTGCTGGAAATAAATGCTTATGTCTACATTGGCACCTAGACGACAGAGTGGTTACATCTCAGGAACTCTAAACAGGAGATGAAGTGGAAGGGGAGGCTGGTCATCATATGGTATCTCAATCATTACTGGATGCTCCAGAATTTGCCTGATTTATCTCCACTACTTATAAAACTTATGCCTAGTAGAGGTCTGATTGTGGATCAGACTACACCCAAATCGGACCCTTCTACATGTCTTAGATCAACGGTGTGGACACATTTACACAGAACAAGATCCATTTGAAGACTTTGGAACACACAATATCGCCCATGTTCAGAATGTCCAAAACTTCTCTAGAATTTCAAAAACCTTCCAGCTCATCCGGTAAACCTGTGTATTCCAGATTGATGACCCGTTAACCTGCTTTATTTCTCCAGGCTTTTACATCTGTCATTCTGTCCATTTGCCTATTTTCTTTTACAATGAATCTTTGTTTTGTGCATTTTTTTTCTACTCGTAAGGATCAAAGTGTTTTACAGGAATTCATTTAAATCATCTAAAAAAGGAGACGAGAAGATAATCTTGGCTTCTAAAAAAAACGTACCTCTCCTTATAGACCAATGCAGCAGCAAGGGGTTATTTCTGTACTTGACAGAATTTTCATAATGTTTTTGTTATTTTTTTAGCATCTTTTCCAGTTTATTTTGTGGTCTGACCTAAATTTTCTCTGCTGTCTAACACCCCCAAACTTAAAAACAAACAATGCTGCCGGGTATTCTGACCTCTGGTCCATAGATCAGAGCACTCAACCCAAAGTGAAACTATGCAGCCTCAGGCAGCCAACAATACCCCTGCTGTCAATCTGCACCCAGCGCTGCTAAATCTCTGACTGACACTTTCAGGATGCAGCCTTTGTGTTTGCGGTGAAGGGCTGTGAACCGTCTGACTTTCAGGTCCTCCGGAAAGATAATCTACTAATCTAGATTTGAGATTTACACTGTATAGGTAAGGACTCTAGTACTGATATTCGCTTGATGCTTAACATCTTCTGGGTCTTTGAATTTGAACAGGTGATATACAGAAGCCCTTCAGTTTACTTATATTAATACACCTGAGCATACCTGTAATGGGGTGTGATCAATAAAATAAATAAATAAACTAATCAGAAATGTATGCTTTCCTTATTAAACTACTTAGAATAACTAACTTATCATAACCAAACTTTAAAAACACACAACTTATATAACACAGTCTTAACACAGTTTAGACAGCATGCATTGCACCAGACTTGGTTAGCATTAGCATGTAGCTCCAACTAGTGATGTTATGAGATGAGCCGAGGCTTCGAGACTTGGGTCGAGTAATGGAGGGGGCGTTTCTCCGAAGCGTGTGTCGAGACGTGATTTATTTAGGGGAGGCGCCAAAATTGATGGCGTCCGAAGCCTCGCTACCATGATACCACGTGACCGCTTAGTGAAGTGGTTCAGAAAGCGCAAGAATTTCGACAGGCAGTTAAACAGCCTCACTACTCAGTCAAGATGTGGGAGTTTATAGGAGAGTTGCTGTCAGTTGAATAGAGTTTGGATAGATTCTAAGAATAGATTGGTTGGAATAACAATCTATCTAGTTGGTTAAAACTATTTTGGTTAGATAAACAATGTAATGGTCAAAATCTGAGTAAGCCACTGGACACAGTTGTGACTTTAGTGTTAATTAGTATTGCTCTCCAAGGAACAGTTAACGATGTTAGGGGCATCATCTGTAAGAAACTGATTTCCACTCTTGAGGTTTATGGTTCAAGACCCACCTTTTCTTTTAAAAAGTGCAATTATACTGAAGTATTTTGGTTAATGTGACTAATTTGTAATGGTTTGCCCTGGTAAAAATATAGATTGGGTAAAAACACTGCCAAAATAGATAGTTTGGTT